TCAAAAGCTACAAATGAGAAATTAATTGATCAAATGTACGATCAATCAGAAATTGATTAGATTTATCACATCATTTTTAATTCGCTTTTATGGTATCTGAAAGGTAAAGGTACTGAAAAAATTTAGGAAAAGCATTTCATTTGATTGAAGAGGCGGCAGAAAAAGGAAGTAAAGATTCACAACATTATTTAGGTACAATTTATCGACATGATAAAGGTGATATAGAAAAAGCAATTGATGGTATAAAAAATCTACTGAACAAGAATATAATGAGGTACAAAATAGTCTGGGATGTTTATATGAAGAAATTTATCAAGATTTAGATAAATCATTGTATTGGTATGAAAAAAGCAGCAATGAAAATGGTAGAGGAATGCAAAAATATATAAAGAAAGCAATTGAATGGTATGAAAAATCAGCTATACAAGAGTATAATAATACACAATATAGTCTAGGATATTTATACGAAAAATGCAAAGGAATCGATCAAGATTAAAGTAAAGCAATCCCTATAAGAAATATGTATACGGAAAGGATACGTTTTGTATACATTTTTTGTACGTTTTTATAGTTTCCTTATACAAATTCCGTATATTTAATAAGCAATTCATTTTTGAACATTTTTTAAAAAAACTAATGTATAAGAAATGTATACGGAAAAAATTAATCATGCGGAATGTATACGGAATTTTTAAACTTAATAACACGAGATCGCATGATTGTTTATTGTTTTGTTATGATACGTTTTTTGTTTTTATATAAACCTTTTTTTGATGAGTTTGATCTTCCGATCTTCCTTTCTGTCTTTCTCTTTCTCTTGTCTTATTTTTGTTATTTTTTCTAAATTTTTCTTCTTTCTTCGTCACCCCCTTTTAAAAATAATTTTTTTTTTCGTCACTCTCCTTTGAAAAAAAATTTTTTCTTTTATTCCCACTCTTCTTTTTTTTAAAAAAAATTTCTTCTTTCTATTTCTATTTCCTCTATAAAAAATTTTTTATTTTTCTAACTTTGACGTCCTCCCTTTAAAAAAAAATTTTTTTTAACTTTCCTAACTTCGTTACCCCTCTTTTTAAAAAAATATTTTTTTTGGTTTATTCTTTATTCCCCTTTCTTTTTTATTTAATTTCATAGGCCAGCAGATTTTTTTTTGTAAGAATATTCAGTTTCTTTTTTCTTTTTTGTAGATCGGTTTGGGAGTCCTTTTCTTTTTGTAGGATGATTCAGGATTTTTTTCTTTTTTTAGGTCAGTTCTAATTTTTTTGTTTTTTTGTATGTTTGGTTCAGATTCTTTTCTTTTTGTAGGTTGTTTCAGTTTTGTTGCTTCGGAGTCTTCTTTTTTTGTAGGTCAGTTTTGGATTTATTTTGTTGTTTTGGTTTCTTTTTCATTAGACGCCTCATAATTCTTTTCTTTTATGTAGGTCAGACATTCTGGAGTTCTTTT